ATAATAAAGGTTGTTTTATTGTGTTAAAATACACTTGTCTTTTATTTTCATTCATTTTTGTTCATCCCAACAGCCTGTGATATAACAAATTTTTGACGATGAGGACTCAAACTTCAAAATCAACATGGCAATTTCACCAGAGATGTTTAAGGAGATTTTACGCAAACAGCAAGAACAAGTTATTGACAGCAATGACTGTACAGTTTCAGAATCAACTCTAATCTAAATTTTCCATGTCAGAACAGACCAAAATACCAATTCAACATATATCTTGGCCAACAGCATAACTGTTTCACTATAACCCAGCAACCAGGAAAATATTCGCTTCATGGTTTAAATGTTGGATGGATAACTTTCTCAGTGACTTTTGTCACAAAGATGAAAAATCCATCTCTTAATTCATAAACTAGAACAAGACCCAAAATATGAAGCTAGGACAGATCTTCATTGACAATCTTCCACTCATATCTAGTATGATGCAAGCTATCACACTATCTGGATTAATCAGGGGAGATGGTGATTGCAAAGGCATGCTTTCAAGACCCTATCATTGGCAACAACGCATCTAATGGTAATTCATCATAAGAAGCACTGATGATCCATAAAGTTTGTTTGCACATAGATCTCATCCATCCAACTACAAACCATTCCCTGAAAAGGAACACGATGAAAGAAGAACAATTTAGCCATCATCATGGAGTAGTAAAATGCAAATATGTTCCAGGACAACCTGTACTTGTAAAAATTGCTGCAACAGTAAAGAAAAATGGATCCAAAGACACATTATACGTCACTCTGGAAATGTTACATAGGATGTGGATATTAAGTCTTCAGTCTGGGTTTAACATGTGAACCAATTACGATCATCTAAAACTTCCAGAGACCAAATCAAACTTTACTGCTGGACATTCTATTGAACACCTTCAAACTGCCTCAACAAAGTTCCCAAGTAATGCCAAATGACAAATGTAGAACTCCAGCAAAAAGTGCACCAAGGAAATCACATCGACCATGAAGTAAGCCATATCCACTACAATTAAATTCCTGACAAAAGTCATACGAGCACAAGGCTAAAAAAAGGGAGATGTTAGGGGAAGCTAATTTCCTACCCCTACAAATGATGATAGCTCAAAATACAACTGAGTTACTTCCCTTGTCTGCCAACACGTGGGCGCACTTCTGAATTGAACATGGTGACCAGCTAACACACACATGGAATATATTGTTTTAATCCATGCAATCCTTGCTGTTCTCAGACAGTGAAATAATAATGGTTGTTTTATTAGGTGTTAAAATACACTTTATTTCATCCAGTTTTGTTCATCCCAACAGCTAAAATTATTGCTAGAAAAAAAAATGAAGCATCAGTGTACAAACCTTTTAATTTTAGCCAAAGATGTCAATATCACAGGATTTTTTTCTACCCTTTTGATTGAAAGATAAGGATATCATTGTCCCAATTCATAAATAGTACAGAAATGCTTTTCTGTTATGCTAACCTTACAAACTCTAAATAAATTTTAATTCATATTTACTACTTTTACAAGATTGAATATGTTTAGAATGTCCTCATTATTCTTAATCTACTAAGTAAATAAAGGAGATTTAAAACATTTCAGAATCCAAAACATTAATAGCAGAAGTAAGTTACACAGGAAAAAAAATGAAAGAAATTTATTGTTTCCTTTGAGTCATTTGAATAAAAGGACAGAGAAATTATCAACTGGTATTGAACAGTTACACAGACACACAGGTGCATATAGTATTTTGAATTTAGATCAGTAGTTGGCCTTAAACAGTATGATCAATTTAATGTCCTGAAACGGTGCAGAGATACAAAACATAAATAAGTGATGTGAGCTTTCTGAATCAGTGTGAATAAAGATTACAAGATATACTTTTAAGAATTATTTTGAGCTAGCATCAAGGTTTCTTGTTTCACCTAGAAATTATTCAAAAGTAAATAAATCACTGAACAATTAAAAAAAATAAAAACAACTTCTTTTAAAACCAAATTCACTGGTGAATTATCTGAAGTTCTGAGATGAAGCATTGTCACTGTTTCATATTATTTGCATCAGCATCCCCATCTTTTTTTATATTTTAGCCAGTGTGTACTAGCTAGAATATTTTGATCAAAACAATAAAGATTAGGATACTAGATTGAATAATTCATGGAACAATTAAAACTGTTTTATATATATATATATATATATATATATATATATGTATATGTATGTATGTTTTTTACAGTAAAATATCTGTGTGTGTGTTTTATCAAAATTCCATGTTTGCAGTACATCAAGGCTCAAATATGTTTGCAATATTTTTAAATTAATAATTAGTGCTTACTAATTTATGGAAGAACATAAATTTAATAACACCAACAATATGTTAAAAATGCTTTTAAGTATATTTAGCTTTTCCTATGTCTTTAAATTTTGTTTGAATGTAAAAAAAAAATTTGTGTGGCACGCAAAGAAAATCAGACTTTTTGAACTATTACAAATTTACAATTATTTAAATCTGATTTTCAGAGTCTAATTTCTCCCCCAGTTTGATGGTTACAGATAATTGGGATTATTAAGAAAAATAAGTTACTGTAGAAATTGGGTTATACATTTTGCATTGATCTCTTACAAAAGAAAGAAATAACAAAAGAAAAAAAAGTATTTTGAAAAACTGATAACTGTGCAGAAATCCTTTTTTTAAATAAACATATTCTCATGAGGAACGAGTTGACTGTGAAAGTATAGAATATCAGAGCAAAATGCCACCAACTGTTCAGACTTTTTTTTTTTTATTGATCATGCAGTTGGGAGTGGAAAAAGCCTTGCCACTTAATCCTGATTATAATAATATCAAAAGAATTAACACATACTTCAGTCAGAAGATCGACGACAATCACTTTTGAGAAAATAGCCACTTCAAGAAAATGGCATAATTAACCTATTTGCAAACATTAAAATATACAGTGACCAATCACTCAGTGTATGTAAGAAATTGTTTTTAGACAATATTTATTATTGTGCAACAAGAAACAGAAGTAGTTTTATTTTAATCATTTGAAAATGGCTGTATAAGAATGAATTCATTAAAACACCAGGAACAAATGGAAAAATATCACAAAGGACATAATTCAGTACAAATATCAAATGTTGAGGTGAAATAAATAAGTAAATAAACCCAATAGACAACAGGGCTTTTCCAATAGTATTTCAATAGCAAACAGCAAGAAGAGTATGATGTTTGCAAAACTAAACTTGAAGTACTCTTGCAGGCAATCAAATCCAATTTCAACTGAGTTTGCATTAGAGAATCTAAACAGTGAAATGAATTGCAACTCATACATAAGAAAAATGCTTTTGAATGTTTGATTCTGGTAGTGCCAATAGCTTGACTTCTGTCAAATCTGAAAAGTCAATTTCATCAGACATTTGTTTAAATCAAATGACTTATTATGATTCTAGTAATCTTAAATGAAAAAAATTTTACAATTGGATTAATGATTGAACCATTATAGGCAAATTAATTAAGTCATTTTTACTTTCTTAAAACTATTTTTTCATTAAGTTTGGAAATGATGTTTTTTTAGAGATCTTGAAACATCAGCTTGTAAAGAGGTAGATAATCGGATAGAATAAAATATTTATGAGATGTTTCAGTGAAGTCTTTTTGCTGTCAAAAATATTTGAGAACATTTTTTCTAAATTTTGAATATAATCTAAAACTTTAGTGTTTATTACTGTATAGCTAAATAACAAAAAGATTCATATTTAGAAAACTTTAATCAAAATCCAAACAAATGGTGTAATAAATTTTAAAATGTTCCAGCAATAGTTACCTTCTTTTTCTTAAATTTCTTTCAATAAAACTCTTTCAGCCAAAAATGAAGAAAAACCTTACAGAAAAACAAAAAACTTCACTGAAAATTGATATTTTTTGTCATGGAAATAATTTCAGTAATTAGTTTAAATTCTTTCATTAAAATTTAATAACATTACAAATTATATTTCTGCATGTCATTGATTTATATATTGCAAATATCAACTGACTATAACAGAAGTTAGCTTTGAGAAAAAAAAGTGCCTTAGGGTAAAATTCACCATATTTGTTGGAAATATTTACAATCGTGTTGTCAAACTTAAAAAGGAGACCAAAACTAATGCAATGAATAAATGAAATAGTTTTGTCCACAACATACACTAGATGTTGCAACCCATATGAAAAGTGTTTAAAAAAAATAAATAAGAAAATATTATTCACTCATACAATATAGACAGATGTCCAAAATGGTGCTCATGTGGTGAAAATGCATAGCACCAAAATGTCCTGGGAAGGCCAGATATCAAACATTCAAAGCTGCAAAATAAACAAAAAATAAACAAAAAAGACAAATTACATTTTTGTCAAAATTCACAAAGATTCCCGAATCATGTTGAAAAAGAAATTAATCATGACCATCATTCCAAGTAAGGCAACTGAAGGTTGAAATGAAAACAGTGAACAAGAGAAGAAAGAGTCCAATGGCATGAAACAAAAATGGAAGGGTTTATCAAAACACAGAATGGCAGATAAATGAAGTTGATAAAACTTTGCTTGTAAATATTTTACTTTAGTTTTTTTTTTGTTTTCTGGAAATTTGGTTTTGGTTTGGGGAAAAAAAAAAAAAAAAAAAAAAATCAACTAAAAATTCTTTTATTTTGAACACATGAAATAGAAAGTGAGGCTGAAATGGGGAAAAAAACTGTGTGTATGTGCATCAAGTGATTAACTTGATTACCATTTGGACACCCATTCTGGACGGTTGCTAATTGTTGGTGTGGATTGATGATAGACACTTCTCTTAGACAAAGTAATAGAATTGGTGTCAGTAGCTAGACTGATAATACTGTTCCGACTGGAAGATGAAGTAGCTGTGAAGGGTCGTTTAAACGGAGATCCATTGTTACGCGTTGATTTATTTCTAGGACACTTTAGATGTTTTGAATTGTACTCCTCTAGTTGTTGCTCTCGAGATAAACTTCGGGTGGGCTTAGCAGATTGAAGGCGACGTAAAAATGCCTGTTGTGAAAAAGTAAAATAAAATTATAAGGAAGAGAATGGAAATAAAATCAATTTAAACAAGAAATGGTAGTGTGAATCAGTGGACCAGAATTGAAATATTTCAAAATAAAAAACAATTAACAAAGGTAACACATTTTTTAATTACTAGTCTAATACAATAATAAAATTAAAAGCACATATTCACATGTAAGAAAACCATTTTATGACAAAGCAAATTTATATTTCAACATACATTGATAAGAATACATGAGAGAAAATATCATTATGTAATGACCAATCTAGCTCCATATGCTAAAATAACTTTAAAAAATCAATAGAAATGCTTCATTATCAATAAGGTGCTTTCTATAAAAGTAAATAAAGAAAACCATATATCTAAATGTTCTGATCTTTTAAGAAAAAAAATTTCAGTCCACTTATTAATTAAAAAGGAAAACAAAACTAAACTTGTTAAAATATAAACAACTTATGACTTGGATCTTATGACATTATCATGTGGTTATTCCATAACTATGCAAAATAAATTGTGAAATAGTGTTTCAGTATTATGGCTAAGATTTCTAAACTGGAATTCATCATTAAAAAAGCTCTAACTGATTAATAATTCATAAGAGATTATTATTTTTGTTCATATGTATTAAGAGAAAAACATGTAAATTTTAATAGTTTTGCATAGAAATTTCCACTTACAAATAAATGATTGGAGAAGTTTTAAGAACAAAAAAAAAGTTGTTTGCAGTAAAACTTCATGCATAATTAAATCATGAAAATTATACAAAATATATAACATGTAAAATCACATAATGAATTTTCATTGCAACTTTTGGACTAAAGTCAATTATATATGCAATAACATCATTAAAATTTTACTTTCAGAACTAAATGAATATCCAGAATTAAAATTATTTATTATGCATAAGTAAAAGCAACAAACTTTTGTAGGAATCAAGAAATAAAAATTTTATATATCAAAAGATTGTTTAAACAAGTGTGCAATTGAATACATTTCATTGGTCATCATCATTTATTGAATATCAATTTGCCAATCGTTTAAGCCTTGTGATTGAAAATTTTAAATATTTTAAAATATCCTTGAATGATTTCATCAAAACACCAGTCAAGATAAAAATTTGCTCATTTTTAATATTAGAAGCAAGAGATTAATTGAATATTTAAATAAAAGGAAAATGAAACCTTTTCTATTCTTGTTATTATTATATGGAAAGTAAAGCTTCAATATTACTAGCATTCTTTAAGTGATATTAGGCATTTTATTTTCCCTGACAAAATATTTTAGAAATCTTGCTTAGAATTGTCTGTAGAAATATCCACTTCATAAGAAAATATTTCTTAATAAAAGAAATTCAAGATTCCCAGCTGTACAGTATCTTTTTTTTAAGAATATAAAATATAATATAATTTGTGATATTTAGTATATTTGATGGTAGATAAAAACTTCTCCCTCTAGTTACATTTATTATTATTATAGTATTATGAAGTTAGGCTAGGTACAAATACTGATAATGTGATGGTGTCTGGATAAACATTAACCTACCAAATATAGCAAATTTGTATATAAGACCTGGGAGATATACAAGATTCTCAAATATGGTATATTGGAAGCTAATTGAACTGCCAAAACTTTTGTCATAACTGATGATTGAAAAGAGGTCAGTGGATAACTGACTACAAATATTTGGTGTTAATAAGTGGGAGATATGATAACAGATTTATGAACCAAGCAGTGGCAAATCATGCCATTGTGCATCATCATTCTGGTCTGTTCACCTCAAGTACAATCCAGGTTACTGGTATACTTGCAAAAATAGCAAAATGGTATTTTCAGTTATATGTCATGTTATTCTATTGAAAGTAGTTGCCAAATGTTAAAAGGTTCAACTTGTTTGAGCAAAGGTTAGTTTTAAGAGTTTGTCAAAAGAAAAATTATAGGCAAAATAATTGCAAAAACATTAATGTCAGTTGTGGGGGGTTGTCACAGTTGAAATATCTTTAGTACTGGTGCAAAGGTATTCAGTTTGCTATGAAGCAAATGTGCTTTTTTGTTACTCAAAATATTCCTCTGTAGAATGTGCAAAGAACAAACTATTTTTAGCAGATAATTTGGTAACTATAATATGGAGAGATTAATGTGTGATTAAACTGGAGATTATGAAGTGCATTGCCCTGTGCTGGACGTTTAATCTAAGGGAATATAATCAACATTTTTAAAATCAGGACAAGTGGTACACTTATTACTTTATAAGGTTTTAAAATTTAATGATTAACTTGTATATATAATGGAGGAGATTTATATTTCAGGGTTATTATCAAAATGAACATTCAATGATTCCTAGATATTTGATCTAAATAAAAAGCTTTGAATGAAATAGTAGCCAATAAGTGTTCAGTCTGTTGCATTGTGTGCGGATTTCAATTTTATATGCACAAGATGTTACTAGGTGTTGTTTAAAGAAGGATACAGAAAACTGCAATTAACTGTTGTAGTGTGTGCAGAATTTCTGTGCCTGTTTATCAATACATATGACTGTTACTTTTTCATTATGTCAAGAACACAATCATAAAAATACAGAAAACTGTTTATTTTATTTTTTTTACACAATAATGTTATTTGAAATAGAAAAAGCAGGAAAAAGTGTCTTTTATATTTCAAGTGCAAACTATATTTCAAGTGCAAACTTAAATTGTATATCCATACCAAGGCTCTTGTCACTCGGTATCTGGTAAGCCATAAGAACACCTCATTAAATGCCATCTATTTTCTCCTTTATGGTAATACTGAGTGTTAGTGTTAGAGACAAATCCCATTGTATTTTCATTATGCCTGAAGATAATACAAGTTATATACAAGTGGAAAAATATATGTAATTAATAAAATAAAAATCAGAAAAGATAATTTGATAAAAATAGGAAATGTTTATAATGATAAATATTAAATTAATATAAAATATGTCATTTATTTTTCCATTTTAATATCCACAACAAATGATTTAAAATAACTCCCTGAAATAATAAAAATGCTTAGATTTAGTTTTTAAAAGTTTTTCACATCATTTGTTGCAACAGGAAAGCAATTCTCTAAAATTAGTGAGAAATTCTTATAAAGTATTCCTATTCAAAATAGATTTTTATGCAGTTATTAATTTCCTTATGTCTAAATATTTTATTGAAGACATACCTCCAAAAACAAAAGTGCTCTCATTTAATTATCTTAAAGAACCATTTTTGTCTTCCATCAGTATGGCTGATGCTAACCTCCAGGAAAGTGACTCATTGTGCTTTCTCAGGCTAACATTTTCCACCAACTTGAAGTGGGAAGATTATATTGATTCACTTGCTAGGTCAACTGCTAGGAAAGTTGATTGACCATGTTGTGCTAGACAAATTTTCTTGACAGAATCTATGTGGCACATTTAGAAGTCTACCATTTATCTATGCTGTTGTCACACCTGGTCTGGTGCTTTTGATATGTATTTATAGATTTTTGATAAAATTCAAAGAAGAATCTGCAATATTATTGGTCCTGACCTGGCATCTCAATTTCAGTTACTTTACCACTGCCCTAACATAGCTTCCTTGTGCTTTTCTATAAATATTTTCATAGTAATTGTTCCGATGAGCTTTCTTCTTTGGTACCTCGACTTTACATATTTAAGTGTACTACTAGATTTATGGTTAGATGTAACCGTAAGTTCTATGATAATGGTTTCTTCTCTCACTTGTAGAACTCTCTTTCCAGTCAACTTTGATCTTCAAGAATTTAAAATGCAATGTCAATCTTTATCTTTGGTTTTCTTAATTCCTGTTCTTTTATTGTTCTCTCTCCTTAATAATGGTTTTCTTTTTCTCATATTTTCACACTCAGTAACACCTTTGTGTCTTAGTGTCTTGCTTGTGGTGTTTAACAAAAAAAAAACAAAAAAAAACACTGAAATAACTTCCCAGTTGTATTTGTCTACATAAAATGACATAAAAATTCTATGGTCTATTCTTATATAAAGCGTACACTACTTTTGAACATGTATTTTATGAATGTAAATCTTATTAAACAAGAAGAAAAGCTTACTTAGCATTATTGTAGTAGTGGATATTTATGATTTTATATTTTTATAGTTATGATTTAGTTGTGTCAAATTTTACAAATAAGTTAATTTAATAATTGCTGTTACTTAGGAAAATGAAAAACTTAATTGTGCTAATATGAAGATGGCTGATTTGTTTACATTTATGAAAACCATTTATAGTTCTGGTTGTTTTGTGATCTTCCATTTGATTAAAATTTGTTCCTTACCCACATCCTTACCATCTTCATAAAAAACAACAATTTGCAAGCAAATAAGATAAAATTTAATATTTGCCTAAGGTAATTTAGAAAGAATATTAAAAAAAAGGTTAATTCTTCAGAAAAAAAATTAAAGTCTTCCAAAGAACACTTTTTTAAATACCTTCTTTATTTAGGATCTTTAATTCAAACTTGTATTTCACAACCCAAAACTCTACTGTTCATCAGTGGAAAATAATTGTAGGTCTTGCTGGAGATTAACAACCTTGCCAGCACATTGCCTTCTCAAAATCAAAGAAGACTAATTTGTTAATATCTTGTCATTGTTTTGGTTTCCCCCCTAATAACATAGGCATGCCTAATGAGAGGTAAGAGAGGTCTCCTAAAGAATTCCGAGAGGAGATAAAGAAAGTTGAAGTTTGTAGAGAGGGAGAATATAAAAGATACTGAAGTGATCATGTTAAGACAGGGGATACTAAAAATTCAAGATAAAAAAATCAGATTGTGCTAATTCCCTTTGCATTTATTAAAGGCAAATCATTTTAGTTTTCTGACACTGCAAACAGCATCTTTATATCTGTTGCATTCAAAAATTCTGACATATTTCTAATTATTTTTAAGAGTCACTGACTAAAAACTTACTTTTAAGAGAGCAGTGAAAATATTTTTCCAAAATAAGTCTTTTAGAACCTGTATTAAATGTAAATAACTTTTTAGTTTATTTTTGAACACTAAAATAGTAAGAAAACTCACAAATTTGTCCAACAACTCTTCAGTCTATTTCTTTACAGATTTGATGCATTTTTTTTATACAACTAGAAAGAACATTCTCAAAATATTTTTTGTTAGTCACAAATGTTAAATAAAATTCAAAAGGTAAATTCCAAAGGAGTGTATATGTGCAACCATTTTCTGTGAAAAACTCTTAAAATGTTCTATTTCAACAACATTAGATTTTTCCAAAAGTTTTAGAAGGCATTCTTTTTCATTTTTTTTAAAGGTAAGGAGTTTATTTTTCAACTTGGGATTATCACCAAAACTCAATGAAAAAGAAAGTGTTGCAAAAAGATATGAGTTATTAAATAATTAGCTCTTCTTATGAATAATGAAAATAGATAAATAATAATAACCACCAGTGGTTAGCAAGAAAAATAGTTTGCAGTTTTAAGATACTATTTTTAATCATAAAATTTTATTCTTGCTCACACTCACAGAATAAAGTGAAAGTTAGCAATTTTATTTCTACTTTTACTACCTCTTCCCCATAATAGTTTCTACATTTAGATACACATTTCAATCATCCACTAAAAATACAACTATTATGGGACAGAGAATGTCTCGTTATGGTTAGCTAAGTAGTCTGGTTGATTTATTACCGTGTGTAGCAAGTTCAATCTTCACCAGATGCCGATACTTGTGGCTTTGTGCTAAAACAAAGTTATGTTTTCTTAGTAAATAAAAGTTGTTGCTAAGAGATACAACAACAATGACAAACAAAATCATTTGAAAAAGGAGTCAAGTGTTTCTTGTGTAACAGTAAGTTACGCTTCTTATTGCAATACACAAAAAGTAAATGAAAGCTTAGGTTGATGACTTCAAGCTTCAATTCTGAGTAGGTTTTTGACCAGAGGCACAAATACAGCTGTTCCCTAACCAAAGGAGCACCTTCATCTTCTTGTACTTAGAGAAAGTAATTTCCTGATGCTTCAGCTTCAGGTATTTTTTAAAGACCACAAATATTTTGTGTGGGAGTGCGAATTTAATATCTGATTGAGTGATCAATGAACCAGATAGCAAATATTTTCAATTTTATTCTCTATTGTGTTTTCTAGCTTTAGTAAAGTTCAGTTTGGGGATTAATTTTTATTTTTTAGAGAATTAAACCCGAAAATAACGAGCACTGATAGATCTATTGGATGAAATTCTCATGGGAAGGGAGTAGAATTGTAATCAAAATTAAGAATAACAACAAGAAGAGGAAGTCAGGCTCACCAAAAAGCCGAAAGGAAAGCTTTCAAATCAGCTGATGGTTGTCGTTTGAGGCAGGAGTCATCAATATTGCAGCTTATCTAGCAAAGACTTTTCAAATGCAAAGAACTATAAATAATAAGATGTAATCCTTTTACAATACTTTCTCATGAAATGGGCTAAGTTTTCAACATTTACAAAATGAAAAACAGTTATAAACAATAATAATAAAAAAATCGATGTCATTCATTGAGTTTTCTTCGTTTTTTTTGCGGGGGGGGATCATCGAGTTACTTTTTTTTTTACTTTTTATTTTCTCCTTTTTAGTTTTAAAAGATGAAGAATCTTTAAGATTCAACATAAAGGAATATTGGTGGTTATTTTCGGCTAACAAAGATCAATTTAATGATGATGATAAAATTTAGAAAATGAACTAAAAATTAATTTAAAATTCATCAAAAAAAATTCTTAGTTTCATTTTTTAACGCAAAATTCCGACAAATTTAAAAAGTTCTACAAATTGTTAATTTTTCCTCGATTTGTTAACAGATAATTTAAAAACCTTAGGTAGTAAATGTGTGTAAACTAAAGTGTAGTGTAGTGTTGTAAAAACTTTTGTTTGATGAGTATAGACAAAAAAAATTACAAACGTGCATAAAGTCTACATTACAATTTCAAATTTCAACACGAATTTTTAACGTGTCTTTTTTTTTCAATTTATTTTTTTAAAAATAGTCGCGTCCAAATTTAATTAAAATAAAAATTAATTAAAAAGGTTGGAGTCGTTTTATCTCACATGTGTATTTTCATGAAAAAATTAAAAGTAAAACAAAAAGATTTTAACCAAATTTCTTTTTATTATTTACTCTTTCTTTGTTTCTTTACCAGGGAAGAGGACCGTAAAATAATTTATTTTATTCTTTTTCTTATTGATCATTAGATTTTAATTTTTATCGACACTCATAAGTAAACAAACAGGACCATAAATAATAATCGTATTTTCGAAAGTGGTTCTATTCAGAATTTGACTTAAGTTTTTAACCTATTGAAATAAGGTCATAAAAAAAGTGTATTTTGGTTTCAATTTCATTTGTTTCAAATACAAAAATCATGAGACATCTAAAAATGAAAATAAACACAAGATTAAGCTATATCGACATCATTGAATTCATCAGTCCTTGTTTAAAGAAAGTAAATAGCCATAATTAACTTTAATGATTAATGTATGAGATTTTTTAAATTATTCCGGAGTAACAAAATAACAATGAATGAGATTCATTAGTTAGTAGATATCGAATAAAAGCTTAACAAGGACCGATGAAAAAAAAAATGAAACTATTTAAAAATTAATTATTGTTAAATGTTGTTTACCTCATTTTCTTTGTCAATTCGACGTTGTTCGCGTTGTCTGTTGATAGCAGAATGAGATACTTTTGGTTTTAAAGGAACTTTTTTGCCAACTTTATAACTTTTAGCAGAAGACAATTTCAAAAGTTGAGACAATAATCTTTCATTTTCTTTTTCGATCTGTCTTGCCCTTTCATTGGAATAGGTTGTGTTAGTTCTGTTATTATTTCTTTTTCGAATTGGTGACGAAGAGGAAGACGAGGAAGAAATTTTCGAACTGCATCTTTTCCACTTTTCCTCATCTTCTTTGCTTATCTCTTCCACAGCTTGCATTATTAAATTCATGTCCATATCGCTGTAGTCAGATGCTTTCTTACAGGAAAATCCATTTTTACCGTTCAGAGTTGGTGAGTTCTTATTACAAACTGATATTATTGTATCTGTGTGTGTTGTTTTAGTTGAAGATTTAGATTTTCTAATAATTGTTGGACTATTATCAGCCGATGAGGCTAATGGAGAGACATCAGTCATCTCAGAAGCTGAAGAACAATCTTCTTCTTCTATGTTATTACAGTTCATATCACTCTGATTTGGAGACGAAGAAGAAATGTGATTATTACAATTATTCCGTTTTGATTTATGTAGAGAGTATCTTTCGGCGAACGAAAGTCCGTTTTTATGCAAAATCTTTCTCGGAGGTGTCGGTCCATTTTTACCAAGGGATTTCATTGAACCAACAGAATCATTATTCGTAATATTATCCACGTCTTCCTCTTCATCATCACTACAACAATCTTCATCGTCGTCGTCTTCATCATCGTCATCATCATCATCGTCGTCTAAGGAACTCAAGTCGCTTTCATTGGAATCATTATTCACCGAGGAAGACGATTCCGATGAACAAGATGCGCTGCCGTATTGATGATAATGATGACGATGATGAACACTAGGAACAACAATTCCATGAAGGTTGTCACTTTTAAATCTTCTTCTTCCTAAATTCTTCGTTTTGCTGCTTTCTGACCCAGAATAATTCAACTCTTCTTCGGCATCTTCTTGCAATAATGACTGTTCTTTCTGGATATCTTCGTCTTCATCGTCTGTTATTTCATCGCCTAGCAAATCGTCATTATTAGTGTAACTATCGTAGACGTCATCGTCTTCTGTATCGTCCGAAATAGAAACATCAAGGCCAGATTGGAAATCATTCTCTTGTTCTTCGGATGAGACAAACAAAACATGTTCGTCTTCTTCGTCATTCCTTGTCGTATGACTAACTTCTTTCCTGACCCCGTTTATCAATAAACCCGAATCCTTCTTACACTTATTCATTTCTAATTCATCCAGAACACTGGTCTCATGTTGCTGGTCATTGGTTTTATTCGTCTCATTGTATGTTGAAATTTCATAACAAACTTTATTCGAGGCCGAAATGGAACGGTGTTGTCGACCAGGAGGAGGTTTATTATACACCTTGTTAAATGTAACATTCTCTTCTTTATGTCCGCCAGGATCATAAAATTCAAAATCCACTGAAGTCGTTAGGTCTTCTTCTTCGACGGAACCCATCTTATAAATTATATTCTTCAAAAAATACAACGTTAATCATGTTCCTTCCTCCCGATTAAATGTCGTCGCGCAAATCCAGTTGTTTTGTTAGCAACAAGTGACGTCAAGTCGCCTACGTGAACATCCGAGAATCACGTCAACAACGCTCGGCAGAAGGCGGAGGCAACGTCGATAACGACGACTACTGCTGCTATACTTTCTTTCCTTCTTTCCTTCAGAGGCTTTTTACTTTTTAAAGTGGAAGCAAGTGCGATAAGGTTATTTTTCTTTTTTAGTTAGTACTTCTTCAGGAAATATATTTGTGCATATGTGTACATGGTGCATAAAGCGATGTTGGTTTGTGTACTACCCAACATGCATAAAGCAAGATTTCCCAGCGTTGCTTATGATATTTTTGTAACTGTAGCACAAAAAAAATAAAATAAAATAAAATGTACTTAACTAAATTAAATAAAAAGGAACTATTTGTCTTTTTCACGATTTGCCCACGTCGATACCGAATGTGACACAAGGTCAAGGTTTAAAGTGAGTTTTAAACTGCAATACCGTGGAAAATTGCCCAAGCCTCGTCGGCACTTCCCCTTTTGATAGTTTATGTAGACTTTAAATAAAAATGTGTGTAGTTCTCTGATATTGCTTTAAGAAAAGTTAATTGCAGGTAAGAGGTTTTTTAAATTGATTCAAAATTTTTAAAAAATTGTTGAGCATTAGTGTCAGAAATTGTAAATGGTACCACTGCGCAATTCTACATAAAAAAAAAGTTATTTGAAAAAGCAATTCATATAAATCCTGGCAGAGTTTCTTGATAAACAATTTTCTTTGTTATTCCATGTGGAACAAACAAATAGAAATTTATTTTTTTAATAATATTCACCCAATATAAGGCCTAAGAGCGATTCAAGGTAGAGAGTTACTGAATCAGTTGTGTGGTATGGACATAAGGGGTTGAAGAAGTTAAGATTGTAGTGTTCAGGGAAGTATACACACAGAAGCCTCTTCTATAAAGTAATGGTTCATGGGAAGAAGCTATCTGAATGGAACTTCCTTTTAAAAAAGGAATATAAAGTCCTGAGAATATAGTATGGCAGATCTTAGCTGTAAAGTTTTGAACTGGTGGAACTAAAGAACATTTGTCATAGGAATAACAAGAGGCTTGCAATGTTGTGTCTGTGGGAAAGGGGCTGTAGAGTAGAAAATAAGATCTCCCTTACAAGGCCACATAGATAATGTTGAATTTTATCAGAGTTGTAAAGTGAAGATTGGGGAGCTCCAGCCCAGATCTAACAGTAATACTCTGTTTTTGTTCTGCTTTGACTCTTCGAAAGATAAAGAACAGCAGGAATTAGGTAATTCCTGGAACTGACCCTTTTTCCAACATCTTTAGCCATAGATTGTATATGTGATTTCTATTTGAGGTCTGGGGTGAAATTTAGTCCTAATAGAATTTAAAAACAATGAGCCTCATTGAGAGTATAGCTGTTCATTATGGGGGAGCATGGTACAACATGGCCTGAGTGCCCAAGTAATTATGCATCACAGAAGGACCACTAACATTTAATGACATTTAATTAATGACATGAAATCTGACAGGTGGAACAAAAATGGGCCACAGAATGAGGATATGTAAAATTAATACAAAATTTATTTACAATACAGACCAGAGTCCTTGTAGGTTAAATTAGCATATAAGTCAACAATTCAAATGTTAAGTTCACATGTCCAGTGAAAGTGTTGAAAAATTGCTGGTTAAGTCCAGTGATGAACTTACTGTAGTATTTTAATTGCAGTGTATGGAGTAGGTTTTTTGAAGTCTGGATGATATAGCCAAAGAGTTCCATTTAAATGTCTGGTGCTGGCATTGAGTAGTTGCTGGTCAAGTCCAGTGGTGATCCTTCAGTAATATTATAACCGAAGTGTTACGGACAAGGTCATTTGAAGTCTGGATGATATAGCCAGGGAGTAGAAAGTTTAGTTTAAATGTCCAGTGCTGGCATTGCATAGTTGCTGGTCAAATCCAATGTCTGGTGCTAGCATTGTGTAGTTGCTGGTCAAATCCAATGATGAATATTCTTTAGTATTTTAACTGAAGTGTATGGAGTAGATTGTTTGAGTCTGGACGATATGAATGCAGTGGTTTCCTAAACCAGGTGAGTTAGAAAGCCAGAAGTAGGGACCATGGTGTAGCCAGAAATTCAGGGCTGTTGTAAACAGGTCCATTAAAACCAATCAACCAAGTGAGTTAGGTTGAGATAGTGATGCCAGAAGTAGGGACCATGGTGTAGCCAGAATTTCAGGGATGTTGTGAGCAGGTTCATTAATGCAGATCAACAAGGTGAGTTAGGTTGAAGTAATGGTTGGAAGTAATAAAGGGCAGGAATGCCGAAAGTCAGAGTCTGTGATAGCTGGAAGTAAAGGTCTGTTGTAGCTGGAAGTAGCAAAGGCTATGAATGCCAGAAGTAAGATGCCAGAAGATAAGGGCCTGTGGTAGCCAAAAGTAATAGATGGCAAGAGTGTGCTGGAAGTAGTAAAGGCCAAGTGTGCCAGAAGTAAAGGTAGATAGGAAAGCCCAACTAGTGTCCAGTTGACAGACAAAAATAAATGGGAATGTAACTCAATATATAGCCCATACAAGCACTCTGGCCACAATGGCCAGGGGCTTGCATTTCTCCTACTCTGGTCCCCTATGCCTGGGCTCAGTGAGAAGTTGCTGGGTTATATGGAAAGGGAATGTAAACATTAACTAGTCCTGCAAAGTACTAAAAATAAACTGAGATGTGCTACGAAATATAAAAAGTATAAAATGACAATAAAGTGTATTATGACTAGGTTCATAACACTGAAAGAACTACAAAGTCATTGGGCTTAGTATGAAACTAAATGATCTTAAATTGAAGGGTGTGTAGCAACACAATAGAGAAGAGGTCATAATGCATTGGCATTTCCTTATATAAGTGTTACTTCCACCTTTCTAGCTTTTTGCTTCCGGTGCCGGTAAGTTTTCACTTCTTTTCTCTCATCTTTTTACCACACAAGTATTTCACTGATTCTGGGCCTAATGACAGTTGAGACATCAGTAGCTGACCTTGAAGAATTAAATCCATATTTGTTGAAAACATTTTTCTTTGTTAAGCTTGTCTAGGCTATGGTTCTTAAAAACATCCAAAGGGATTTTATCTGAGCCAGTATCCTTTGTAGAATCAAGTGGAAACTTCCTGAGCTAAAATAAAGATATCACAAAGTCAACGAGAGGGGCAAAGTCAGGTAGAGGTTGGCCCTTGTCATCTAATGTGGAGTTTAAGGCAAAGTTTATTGCAAAATCAGGGCCTTGCCCAAAAAGGATGTAATAACCTCAAAGTTATTTATAATAGTAGGCATGGACAGTTTGCCTTTATTAAAAATCTTGTTAGTGATTTTCGAGAACCTGTGGGAACCAAGTCTTTTGTTTTCAACTTTGGCTTGAACTGATTGCACATAGCTAATCTTAGCATTTTCTAGAACTTTCTTGCAATGATTG